ATAGTATCAAAAGTTTGTGATGTTTTCTGTTACTTCTTGGTTCATTGCTGAGAGTCGGGGAGGAAAGAAAGGAAATGGTTGCCATTTTGTTCATATTTTCCTTTCAGAAACTTTCAGTGTGATCTCTAATATGGATCTCACTTCATTTGTTTTTGTTTTTTTTAAATAACCCATAGTAGTTATATATGTTATTACATTTTCTTTCCTGTCGCAAGCATCTTCTTGAATGTGTGTATTTCCAAATGCTTTGTATCTCCAAGGCACTCTGTAAATGCTGACTGAATGACCATTCAAATACACTTGAAGACTCCAAAGAGTTGTGTTTTCAGGGATATAGTGTTTTTGCAGAGCTACAGATAGGGGAATAAATCCTGTCTCTCTCTTTCTCTGAAAGAATAATAAGTTCAATTTAATTAATTAGCTAATGATAGAAAACTAACCTTTTAAATCAGGAAGACAGAGTAGAAACAGGGTATCCCATTTTATCATGGTTTTCCCTCGCTTCTAGAGTGTGCAGTAGCCAGGAACACCTTATGACAAGGTTAGAGTCTTGCTAGATATGGAAGATTCAGTTATTTGCTATTTTTTTGCCTCTTTATATTCTAGACTTACATTACCAGTAGTGATGAACTTACTTTAAATAATTTAGGTCTTTAATAATAAACATTTATGTTTCTCCAGGACCTTTCTGCTCTCCAGTTAAACTCAGCTTCATGTGGGAAAGTAGAGGGACGAACTAATAGGCTCAAAGATTGGTAGTCTCTGAGTAGTGAGACATTCTAATTTGGAGTTTGGTTTAAGAGCCACAACAGAAATCTGTTTCTCCACATTTTAAGATTCCATAGGGGAAAATCTTACTCAGAAGTGGTTTTTAACTTTTGGATTTAGTCCAGGAATGGAAATGTATTAGATTCTGTTATTTGCAACAACAGAACTCTGGCTAATTAAAACATAAAAAGGAGATATGTAATTAGAGGCTTATGGAATCTGAGGGTGGACCAAATTTATCAATACTAGGAGAATAGTACAAAGCTTTGCCAAAAGGTTTAAGGGTTGAAACAAGCAAAAAATACACCAAAACTTACTTTTGTAACAAACAGTAAAACTTATAATATAGAAAAATTAGAAAGTAAAAATCACTCATTACTTTCTAGAAATTAAACTAAAAGATGAAAAAAAAAATCCTGATAGTTACATTAGTGTTTTTTTATTTGTAAAGCCAAACACCTTAAAAAATAGCCACTTATACTTTTTTTTGGGGGGGGGGCGTAAATATTGACCTTGTTCATTAGGGATTACTCCCTTCTGGTTAAGTCTCCCAGCCTTTTTTGTTTGGTGATTTTTCTATCTCTGCTGTCATGCTGAGAGACAGGCCTTCCCAATCTAAATGTTGTAGACTGTTTAAAATATAATTTTGAACCAACGGGTCAGTTCCCCTCAACCCCCACAATATCTCCAAATACTGCTTTTGGTAATGGTGGTCCACTAGGCTGTGATTTTTCCGGGTTGTGGGGAGATATAATCAGGCCAGTACTACCTGTCTTAGTCAACTTGGGGTGTGTATTATAGTCCATTTGTGTTGCTATAAAGGAATACCTGATACTGGATAATTTATAAAGGAAAGGGGCTTATTTTGGCTCGCCATTCTTCAGGCTGCACAGGAAACATGGTACTGCCATCTGTTTTTGGTGCGGGCCTCTGGAAGCTTATGATCACGGCAGAAGGTGAAGGGGAGCCAACATGTCACATGATGAGACAGAGCACAAGAAAGGCCAAAGGGTGGGCTCTTTTAAACAGCCAGATCTCCTTTCCTGTGAACTCAGAAAGTGAAAACTCACCCATTACCACAGGGACAGCACCAAGCTATTAATCAGGGCTCCACTCCCATGACCCAAACACCTCTCACAATTCTACCTCCAATATTTGAGGTCACATTTCACCATGAAATTTGGACGGGACAGAACATCCAAACCAACTCGGGCTACTATAACAAAATGCCATGTACTGGGTGACTTACAGCAGACATTTATTGCTCACAGTTGGAGAGACTTGGAAGTCCAAGATCCATGTGCCAGCAGATCCAGTTCTTGATGAGAATCATCTTCCTGAATTGTAGACAATCACTTTCTCACTGTATCTTAACATAACCTAGAAAAAGAAAGGGAGTGAGCTCTCATGCAGGGGGGTACACCAGCATGAATTTATGTAAACTTAATTATCATGCAGAGGCCTCTCTACCGAATACTATCACATTGGGGGCACAGCTTCAGAATGAATTTTAGGGAGGACACAAACAGTCACTCCATGACACCTCTTATTCTACTTTTTGTTGTTGTTTTACCTCCATCTGAGGGTAAAATAAAAACTAGAAATTCTTTCTTTGGTCCTCAGTAATGTTAAGTTTACCTTTCTAGAGTAATTAGTGTTATTTGACAAGATATATAGAAAACTTTTATCTGTGTACGTATATACAGGAAATCATTTTTTACTTTTAGGTCTTCAGTCCATCTAGGGTTTTTGTTTGTTTGTTTTCCTTTCGGTGTTTAGTATCAAAGAGGGATCTGTATTTTTCCAAGTATTTTGCTCAGGCTCTTTCGGTATTTCTTGACTAATTTATTATTTCCACACTCAAAATGTTAGCTTTATTATATACCACATCCTGTTATATATAGGTCTGTTGGTGTACTTTGAATTATTTTATGTTACTAATACCAAACTTTGTATTATTTTTACTTTAATGTTTTTCCTCCTCTAAAGTAGTCTGTTGTTGTTTTGAAATATTTTTGGCAGTTATTTCTACTCTGTTTTTCTAAAATTTTTATTGGGGTTTTTCACTATAATTACAGTTCATTTGTATATTAATATAGGGAGAATTGGCATGTAAATAAGTTTTCCTATTTAGGAATATGGCATAGCCTCCATTTTTTCAAGTCAGATTTATAAGTTTTTTTTTACAATTTTATTCATGAGTGTTTTAAATATTAATGTTTACAAATATGATTGAACCCTTTTCTGCAATAAATGTGTAAAGATATCACCCATTGTAACATGCTTATTATATAGTTCATATACATTTTGCATATGTTTATAAGCAACCACATTACTGGTTCTGATAGCCCTTTATTTCATCTTCTTGGATTTTTCAAATAACAGTTCTTTCTATTCCTTCCTAATATTTATTGTTTCCTTTTTCTTATTACACTGGATTGAATTTCCAGTCTCAGTTGAACAATGGTAATGATAGTGCATCATCTTGTCTTTATCTTTTTTTAATAGCCATGTCTCTTTCTGTTTAATGTTGATAATGGCCACTGATTTGAGAATAATCTGCTTTATTAAGAGTCCTTTTCTCAGTTTGATTTTCTTTTTAAATCAGATAGTAAATGCTAAGTTTTATTAAATGCCTTTTTAACATCAAATAAAAAGTGGTGTGAGCTTTTAATGTGAGGAATAGCCTAAAAATATCCTTGTGTTCTTGGAATAGTCCTACTTGGCTGTGTAGTTTTCATAAATACAGAGCTATTATTTCATAATAAATGAATTTTTTAATTAATATGCGTGAGACTACTTTTTTATTTGTTTATAAAGTACCAAGGTTGTAATAGGTTGCTAAAATACATTAGAATACTTTCACATTTCATGTATCTTGGATTAATTTTAAAGCTTAGTAATTATGTGTACTCCAGCATTATAGAACATGATAGTAAATTTTCAGGGCCTGATACTTTTTTGGAGCAGTGGTTAAAAACTGAAACTTTTTAATTCATAGTTGTTAAGCACAGTCAGTGTGAATTGTCAGTCCCTTTTTGTAATATCCTCAGTTATCTGGTAGATAATAAAATTTGCCTTATAATTTACTTTTTTGTTTTTGATTTTTCCTCTAAAAATATTAATGGAAATAACATTGCATAAAGTTTTTAACATATTTCGACATGTTTAAACATGGTTAAAATGCATTTTTTTGATTATCTTGTGAAACCCTTCTGCATTTCAGTATTCATTTAAAAATATTGATTAGATGTAACTTTTAAAGGTATTGTTTATTATTTATACAGTTTCCATTTTTGAGTGCATATTTTGGTTTACTTCTTGGTTTGTGTGTTTGCTCATTTATTTTGTTAGGCCACATATGTGAGTGGTAGACCTCCAAGGAATTGTTATACATGTTTTAATACACTTGTCAATTAGCAGCATCTTGCTTGACTATAGCAGTCGTATTAGCCATATTTGCCTCAAAACATTGTAGGTTTTGCTCTATTGCTTTTAGGAAGGAAATAAGTATTCTATGGAAGAAATTTGAAGTCATTTTAACTTTTGCTTGTGAATTTTTTTTTCTTAACCCTGAAATGGAAAAACTATTTTACATTTATATAACCATTTCTTCATTAGTATTTTCTGGCAATAGGCTTTATCTTGAGTGACTTTTCAGTAGAGATACTTGATTTAGGGCCTCTCCAAAAGAAGATACTTTTGTATTATATTTGGTTTGGGAGACCCTACATAAGTTATCTATTGCTGTGTAAAAAATTTACCCCAAAACATAGTAGCTTTAAGACAGTATCCATTTATTATCACTCAGTTTCTGTGTGCCAGGAATCAAGGTATGATTTAACTGAGTCCTCTACTTGTGTCTCACAAGGCTGGAGTCAAAAGTGTCAGCCAGAGCCGGGAACTCATGCGAAGGCTTGACTGGGGAAGGATCTTCCTTCCAAGTCAACTCAGTCCTAATCTAGTGCTTTTTTCACTACAACACATATTGGTGGATTGTTAATTTATTTGCTAGTCACATTTGGATCTCATATCCAGCCCAGAGAACATGTATTTCATTTCTTTTTGTTACTCAGTTGTAAGTTTTGTGTGTGGTGTGTGTGAGTGCATGTGTGTGTGTGCACATGTGTGTATGTAGCTAAAGATAGTTACAGATGGGGGCAGGAAGAGAAGAGAATGTTGACAACTTTTTTCTATTTTAAGAATTGCAGTACTTTTTTTTTCCTCCATAGGAGCCTTAGCTGGACCAATTATTGTGGAGCCACATGTCACAGCAGTATGGGGAAAGAATGTTTCATTGAAGTGTTTAATTGAAGTAAATGAAACCATAACACAGATTTCATGGGAGAAGATACATGGCAAAAGTTCACAGACTGTTGCAGTTCATCATCCTCAGTATGGATTCTCTGTTCAAGGAGAATATCAGGGAAGAGTCTTGTTTAAAAACTATTCTCTTAATGATGCAACAATTACTCTACATAACATAGGATTCTCTGATTCTGGAAAATACATCTGCAAAGCTGTTACATTCCCGCTTGGAAATGCCCAGTCCTCTACAACTGTAACTGTGTTAGGTAGGTATGCTTGAATTATGTATTTTGGTGATAGTGGTGAAGATTACAATAAAAATATTTTTGATAAAATGGTTGAAATTTTATTTAACTTTAGGTTTAAAGGAATTCAAATATGATTTAAGGTCTTAAAATTTATGGTTCTAGGTTCTCTTTAAATAAAATCTTCTCTGATATATTTATCTATGTAATACTACATAGTTTTAGCTGGTTTCTTTATGAAAGATCATGCTGAGTTTTGATTATATACTAAGTTCTGAGTTTCTTTGACATCTTTATTTTCGTTACTTCCCCTCAAATTTTCAGCCTTTAAATTGCCATCTTAAGTTTTTTCATTTTTAAAAAAACACTGTTTTGCATCTAGAAGTCATAGACACCTCGTGTTTTAATTTTTCATATCAAATTTTATTTCTGCTATTTTAAATTTGCCTAGCTATCTGAATATCGTGCTTTTGCTCCTAATAGTGATATTTCACCATTTGCTATCTGACACCTGTTAAAGTTTATGGTAAAATGTTGAAAAAGCTTGTGAACCTTAAGCTACTTGCAGTGAAATGTAAACCAGTTTAGAAATGCTGATAAGTTCTTTTTAAATGATAGAAATGAAGATTGAGGAGTAATAGCAACTGGTGGCTGCTGACATGATAATCTACTGCTTAGGCTCTATTCAAACAGCTACGCTACTAGTAGTGTGGGTAGCTGACAGCTTCTAGCTGTTGGCTCCTTTAAGCTTACTTCAGTTTTTGAGTCAGGGCTTTTCTTTTTGTGAATGACCTCAGGCCAGTGACTAGGTGAGGCAGTGGTAGCCAAGGGTAAGGTTTTCTTGGGGCCAGTGATTGAATAAGATAGTGGTGTGAAGATTTTTACCCAAAGTGGGACTCCTTTAATGGAATCTGCTCATTGGCCTGATGGAGACTTTGTCAAGGTGCTGATATCTGCCCTTCCTCAATCTTCCTTTTCCCTTTTCTCTCAGTTATCACTCCTTAATAAACCTTTTATACTTCTCATATCACAGTGTCTGCTTCCCAGAGAACCAAACAAGTTAATAGCCCCTAATGTTTAAGAACATAATATTAGTCTCTGAAATATAGGACACCAATTTTGTCCAAATTTATTATATATTTTTTCATGTTGAGAGATATTATTTTAAAATAAAAATAAAATTAGATATTCAAGCCTTAATATGTTTAAGACACTGACCTAAGAGCTATGGGGAAATATAACTTACATTTAAGAGACTGATATTTTTGAGAAATTTTCTGATTAGAAGGCAAGGCATGAATATCTGAAAACTCACCTGCAGGACATCAGTCGTAACACAGGTCAGGCACGGTGGCTCACACCTGTAATCCTAGTACTTTGGGAGGCCAAAGTGGGTGAATCACAAAGTCAGGAGATCGAGACCATTCTGGCAACATGGTGAAACCCTGTCTCTATTGAAAATACAAGGCCGGGCGCGGTGGCTCAAACCTGTAATCCTAGCACTTTGGGAGGCCGAGGCGGGTGGATCACGAGGTCAAGAGATCAAGACCATCCTGGTCAACATGGTGAAACCCCGTCTCTACTAAAAATACAAAAAATGAGCTGAGCATGGTGGTGCGTGCCTGTAATCCCAGCTACTCAGGAGGCTGAGGCAGGAGAATTGCCTGAACCCAGGAGGCGGAGGTTGCGGTGAGCTGAGATCGCGCCATTGCACTCCAGCCTGGGTAACATGAGTGAAACTCCGTCTCAAAAAAAAAAAAAGAAAATACAAAAAATTAGCTGGGTGTGGTGGTGAGCACCTGTAATCCCAGGTGCTCAGGAGGATGAGGCAGGAGAATTGCTTAAACTCAGGAGGGGGAGGTCGCAGTGAGCTGAGACTCCACTCAGGCCTCGGCAATAGAGCAAGGCTCCATCTCTTCAAAAAAAAAAAAAAAATGGGTAACAAAAGTACTGTATGGCTTGGCTCACTCCTGTAATTCCAACACTTTGGGAGGCCGAGGCAGCTGGGTCGCTTGAGGCGAGGGGTACATGACCATCCTGGCTAACATGGCAAAATCCCATGTCTACTAAAAATACAAAAATTAGCCAGGCATAGTAGTGCATGTCTGTAATCCCAGCTACTTGGGTGGCTGAGTCCTGAGAATCACCTGAACTCGGGAGTCAGAAGTTTCAGTGAGCCGAGATCATCGCACCACTGCACTCCAGCCTCGGCAACAGAATGAGACTCTGTTTCCAAAAAAAAAAAAAAAAGACAAGTGCTTTGCATGTGAAAGAGCAAGCTCATGGGGATAAAATCACTTTTTATTTTGCTTTAAATTTTAGTAGTTCCCCTTAATTAATACAATACTTACTGCCTTAACATCCAGGCTGTTTGTTACAAGATTAGTCATTATTTTGCCAATGCATACATCTCTCGCTTATCTATTCTCCTTGATGCTCTGTTTTCAAAAACCCAAGTCTTACCATCATAATAAACTGTTTGCAGGTCTTTTAACCTATGTTTTCATGGATGTTTCTCTTTCTGCCTGGATTGCCTTTTTTTCTGTCCTCTCTTTCTTCCTATATTCTTCTGTGTAACAATTATTCATCAAATCACATCCTTTTAGTAGCCATTCTTGACCGCTTTTCCCTAACCTGATGCTTTTTTGGCTGTCATTGTTATGTTGAACATATCTTTATTGTAGCAGTTACCACACTATTGTTTTCTCTACTATAAACATGGTGGACAGTGACTGTGCATTTTAAAATTTAATTTTATGTCCCTAAAGCTCATAAGAGTTTTCAGTGTATAGCAGTAATACAGTGTTATTTGAGTAGGATATAGGAATGGATTAGTGAACTTGGTAGTCAAGAAATATTTTGTAGGAGGAAGAGTTGAGTCAGTCATCAGTGGTGAGTAGGTTTTGGGTAGGAAAATGAAAGAATAGGAAAGTGGTGTTCTAGAATTTGATAGTATGTGAACCAAGGCAGGGAAACAAAACAATATGCACTTCACACTTGAACAACATGGGTTAGAGCTGTGTAGGTCCACCTATGCATAGATTTTTTTAAACTAACTGCAAATAGAAAATACAGTGTTTATGGGATGTGAAACCTGCATATATGAAGGGCCAACTTTTCCTTTACACAGATTCCACAGGGCCAACTGTAGGACTTAATTATGCACAAATTTGGGTATACTCAAATTTGTGCATAATTTGGGACCCTGGAACCAACTCTCACAACCCACCACCAGGGTGTGCTAAGGAACCACTAAACATTAAGGCAAAGTTTTCTTAACTTTGTTAACATTTTGTTGACAACAGTATTGTTGACATTTTGGGCCAGGATTCTTTGTTGTAGTGAGCTGTACTATTTGTCAGACAGCATCTGTGGCCTCTAAACACTGTGCTAGTAAATGCCAATAGCATCCCTCAGTTGTTAAACTCAGAATGTCTCCAGATACTGCCAAGTGTCCTCAAGAGGGGAGCAGGAGTTAGTGGGGAATCACCCCTTGTTGAGAGTCCTGCATTAATGGATCACTGAATAATTTAATGATTGTTCAAAGGATTTATAAAGTACAAGAATTAAAGTTTAGAATTACAGAGTAGGACTATGTTAAAGTAACTTAAATGCTAGGATACGGAATTTGAGTTTTATATTACTGAAAATTCATATTTTGTATACAATAGTTGTGCTGCTTCTCACCTGTCTTCTATTCTCAGACTCTTGCTGTTTAAAACATAGTTCGTGAACCAGAAGCATTGGCATCACTTGGGAGCTTGTTAGAAATATTTTCAGGCCAGGTGCCGTGGCTCATGCCTGTAATCCCAGCACTTTGGGAGCCCAAGGTGGGTGGATGACTAGGTCAGGAGTTCGAGACCAGCCTGGCCAATATGGTGAAACCTAGTCTCTACTAAAAATCCAAAAATTAGCTGGGCATGGTGGGAGCACTCCTGTAGTCCCAGCTGCTCCTGAGGCTGAGGCAGGTGAATTGCTTGAACCCAAGAGGCAGAGGTTACAGTGAGCCAAGATCACACCACAGCATTCCAGCCTGGGTGACAGAGTGAGACTCCCTCTCAACAACAACAAAAAAAATTTCAGACCCCTCTTAGTCTTACTGAATGATAGTCTACATTTTAGCAAGATTCCTGAGTGATTTGTATACACAATGAAGTTTGAGAAACACTGCTTTGATCATATCATATAGATGAATGCCTAACTAAAAGCTTACCTGATTTAGAGAGTAATGCGATGACAGTTGTGATTAGGAAGATGGATCTGGTGTTTTTGATCAACTGAAATAAAGAGGTCCTTAAATCATAATGTCTCAGCCATGAGGCTGTGAAGAGTTGCAGTTAATTTTGTAATTTTTGCCACATGAGTGAAGACAGGAACTATTACAGAGGAATAATTAGCAGAATTTTGTAACTGAATATAAAATATAAGAAAAGCTTGAACAGTAACAGGTTTTGAAAGTTTGTGATTAAATGTTACTGCTAATTAAATGGGCATATCTGAATGAAAAGCAGGTGTTGGTGATTGGGAGGATAAAATGATTTTGGTGTTTGGTTTATTGATTTTGAGGATCTCTAGGTGGAAATAACCAGGTGTGGAATCTGAGGCGTCAAGCCTTGTATCAAAATTGAAGAACGTTCAGAATCATCTGGGTAGTAATGTTTATCAGATTGAAGTTTTTAAGTGAGATACAAAAGTAGTTGCAGGCCTAGGACTGATTATTAAGAAAGAGGTTAGAAGAAATAGGAAGAATTCACAGAGAGTTATGAGAATAACTCAGAGTAATATATCAAGAAAAGATATGAAAGTTTTTAAGAAAATGTTGGTCTAGAGCCATTTCCACAGTAAGAAGTAAGCCCTACAGAAAATGATTTGACTATTTTTTAGTTTCTCCTAAGGACAGCATGTAGCTGGTATAATTCTAAATTCATAGCCTAGGAGTTAATTCATGAGTTAAATACTTTAACACATTAGGATTTAATTCTTTTCAATTGATTGGGAAGAGCTGTGCTGAAGTATCAAATTTTACAAAGTTAAAGAGACTAGACATTAAAGTGTTGAGTTTTAGATGAGGGGTCTTTGATGACATTAAAGTTTCAATAGAGTGATAGTAGTAGAACCAAATTAAGGGAATGTATAATTACAATGACTGTTTTCCCAAATCTATGTAGAACTTCTACTCACCGGTAAGAAAAAAATAGACAGCTGGCTATAATAGGCATTTTGCAGAAGAAACGATTCCAAATGGCTCATAAACATATAAAAAAATTTTCAACCTCATTCATAATCTGAGATATTCAAAATAAAATCTCAGTGGTATACCATTACATACCTATCAGATTGCAAACACTGAAAGGTCTGTGACAGTATCAGCTGGGTGACAGTATCACCTGGTGAGTATATGAACCAGCAGGAGCTCTAAGATTGGGAGTACGTTAGTACTTTGGAAAGGTTTTTGAAATTATCTGATAAAGTTGAGAATAAGTGCTAGCAATTCTACTACTAGGGATAAACTTGTACACAAATATGCTAACATACATGAATGGAAATGTTTCTTGTAAAATTGTTCAGACGAAGCTGGAACTCCATTGTCCACTAATAAACTATGAAGCAGTTGAAACTAATTCATACAATTGTATGTAAATCCTAATGATCTAAAAATAAAGTAAAATAAAATGAATTCCAAAAACAAGAAATTTAACCTAAATGTTTTGAGTATGAATGAATCTCCAGAACATAACGTTGAGTCAAAGAAAAACTACAAAAATACATATAGTCCAGTTCCATTCTTAAAAAGTTCAGAAACAGAGTAAACTGTGTTGTTTAGGTTTGCATTTCTTGGTCGTAGAACTGTAGTGAAAAATAAACAGTTGATCTCCAAAGTCAATATAATGGTTTCACATTGAGGCAGGCAGGGTTTTAAGATATAGCAGAGAAATGTGAGGAACTTGTGAGGTTCCAGTAATTTTGTTTGTTAAGATGTGTGATGGTTACATAGATGTTTGCTATAAAATTGTTCATTGCATATGCTGCATGTACTTTTTCATTTGTTATTTTACAATACATCTTGTAAAAGGACCTACGTAAGGAAAATAATCATATCCATGAGAGGAAAATGTGAAATAAAAATAGATTTCAAAGTAAAATGTGAAACAAAAATTGGTTCTTACAATACCATCTGTTCTTGATGGTACTGAAAGAACCAATTTGAAATCCTGGAAATGAAAAAAAAAATCATTGAAATAAAAACTCAATGCATACAGTAAACTAAAGACTGGACACAAAATTTTATGAAGCCAGTAATGAGGAATTTACACACAAAGAAGTACATAACGATCACTGGAAAATGTGAAAAGATAGCTAAGAGATATTGGGGGCCAGAGTAGATGGAGAGGCTCTAAAATTGTTGCTTTACCCTGCGGAACCTTCTTATATCAGAAGGATGGGTGGTATGTACATTCCAACAAACTTAACTGTTTGTAATGTTACATGTTAGCATGAGCTTAAAGTATATGTTGTAAATAAAAGTAGTAGAACACCTTAGCAACCCTAATGGGTTGTTTTAGATACATGAGCAGTTAAAGGTTGAAAGTTTAAAAGGCAGTGTTTTAAATATAACTATTGAGTCACTTACTGGGCGAAGAAAAACAATTCATCTTCAGTGGGTATGCTCAAGGGAACTTATTTTTTCTTAACATTTTAATAGTCATAATCATAACTTATTTTTAAAAGTATTTGTTTTAAAATTTTTTTGCTGTAAAATGAAGAGATATATATGTATATCCTTGTCTTCCAGAGAAGTAGTATCTTTGATCTCATAGAGGGAATTGTGATCTAGTTCACAGAAATTTTTTGTATACAGTTGGAGGGAATTCATCTGTCCCTGAAGGAATGTATATTTTTATCAGGTAAAGCCATCTTTGTAATGGTAGTATGAATTCTTGGTTTCATTTGTCCTAGACTGTAATTGATGATGGCATTACCTAAAAAGTGTGTGTGGATTTTATGTGCATTTTTTTCCAAGAATGTAATTGATGATGGCATTACCAAAAAAGTGTGTAGATTTTATATGCAGTTGTCCTTAAGCTTGTGAAATATTTCTAGATGTGACTTGGAAAGATAAACATATTCTTGTTTGAATGTAACTAATTTTTAAAAAAATATTTAAACAGTTGAACCTACTGTGAGCCTGATAAAAGGGCCAGATTCTTTAATTGATGGAGGAAATGAAACAGTAGCAGCCATTTGTATCGCAGCCACTGGAAAACCCGTTGCACATATTGACTGGGAAGGTGATCTTGGTGAAATGGAATCCACTACAACTTCTTTTCCAAATGAAACGGCAACAATTGTCAGCCAGTACAAGCTATTTCCAACCAGATTTGCTAGAGGAAGGCGAATTACTTGTGTTGTAAAACATCCAGCCTTGGAAAAGGACATCCGATATTCTTTCATATTAGACATACAGTGTAAGTAAATAGTAACATTTGCTTTTTTAATATTTGTCAGCATATTTATCAAACTTTTTAATTTGAATATTTAATAGCTTTTCCTTGTTTTTGTTTTAATTTTATGTTTTCGTGGCAATTGTATTTAATCAAAGCATTTTTAATCACTTTTGTAAAGATGAACAGATGACTTTAAAGTTGCTTTCCAACTTAAAACTGTGTAACTGTTTCCTTTTATGATCTTAAAAGTTGGCTGGACTTAGGGAGTTCTGGCAACTTGTACCTCAAAATGTACAACGCTTAAGGACAAACAACTTCTATATTCTTATTAATTGAGCTGTTACTCAGTTTCACTGATGCGTCCCATCTTGTTTTCTTTTTTGAGATGGAGCCTTACTCTTATCACCAGGCTGGAGTGCAGTGGTACATTCCCGGCTCACTGCAGCCTCTGCCTGCCTGCAGCCTCCGCCTCCCAGGTTCAAGTGATTCTCCTGCCTCCCAAGTAGCTGGGACTTAGGCTTGTGCCACCACGCCTAGCTAATTTTTGTATTTTTAGTAGAGATGGGGTTTCACCATATTGGCCAGGCTCGTCTCGAACTCCTGACCTTGTGATCCGCTAGCCTCGGCCTCCCAAAGTGCTGGGATTACAGGCATGAGCCACTGTGCCTGGTCTTGTTTTCTTTGACTTCTTTAGATGCATATTAATCAGTTTGAAAATCTGTATTTTTCAATATTATTTCTAATCTTGTCTCATTGGTCATGTTATAGGCATTTTTTTTAGGTAAAAAACAATATTTTAAAGACATAATTGGATAATAACCATTGTAGATACAGGTTCAAAGCTGAGCCACCTTGTTACTTGTATACTTTTGTTAAGGGATACTTTCCTCTGTATGTGTTTATATATTCTTTTCTATCTGCTTTTCCCTTTAAAAAAAGTTTCTTAGTTTTTAATGCATTCTTCGTGATTTGTATACCATTTAAACATTTGGAGTAGGTGATGGCTGCAGATAGTTCATAGCAAGGATAATGAAAATTAGGCAGATTAGAGATAACATTAGGAAAAGTATTTAGGTTCTGTCTGCTTTTACTTTTATCCATGTGCAGATTATAATCTAGGTGTTATTGAAGGAGTTGTTCTCTTTTTTTGTTGTTACTACTTGCGTTTTGATATGACATGAATGGAATTTTAAATTACACAAGTTCATTACTTTGGTGTAATGGTTTTTAAAGCTAATTCCCAGGATCTTTTTCAACATTTATAGGGTTAACTGGAAAAGCCATAGTTTACAAAATGTTACTCCCATTGCATTCTTAAATGCTAATACCGTCTTTTCTCAATTCTCTGGAGAATCCTGTTAAAATTTTTCTTTTTCCTTCCCCTACCTTGCTTTTACAGAATCTTTTTTCTTTTTCTCATAAAATTTAGATCCCAATTGTAAGTTAATATATTTTGTGTATGCATATATGTTTTCCTTTTAGTGTCTAATAATGACTGATACATTCATCAATTTGTATTTTTTTGTTTGCTTGAATGAAATCTTAGATATATTAAGTATTTCTTCTAATGTAAGTGTTTATAACATGGTTTTGATTTATTGGCTTGCCCCTAAAATATTTTTGAATAGTCATGACTTTTTTCCTTCTGTAAATTAGAGACCTATAAAACATGTAAACAAATTTAAATATTGCCTTATATCACAAACTTATACCTCAAAATTTAGAGATATCCTTTTGGGATACTTTAATGCCTTTTATAAACTTTGCTTTCCAGTAGGACAGTCTTCCCTGGCAGAGGTAAAGACTGACCTGGTCTCTCTCTAGCTCATCAGATCATGTGCTGCTAAGTTAGGTTTCTGTGTAGTTCACAGAAAGATAGTCTCTGCATCATACATAAGTAACACCTCTGTAGCAAAGCCTTTTATCACCTCCTCCACTCCATCCCCAATCTAAATTAGGCCTTTTTTCTTATCTTCTCTCATAGCATCCTATTCTTTTTCTTCTTGGCCCTCATAGAGTTTTAGTTAAATATTTTTAAATGCCATCTTCCCTATTACTGTTAGAATGTAAATTTTGTGTATCTAAGTCTGTATGTATACCAAACACCTAAAAGAGCATATTATTTCTAAGTGCCATTCCTGGCGCCTACAAGGAGCTAAACAGAATGATGGTTGAATGAATGATAGGTATTGGACTTAATAGTTTGGAGATACATATTTATATTGCTGGTAGGTATGGATAATTGCCCATTCAACTAGTTATGACTTTTGGGTACATGGAATGCATAAAAGTTTGTTTTAGTACATTTGAGACCCTAGATAATTTACTTTAGTTGTAAGTATGTAATCATAGAAAGCCTGTTTTTTTAACATGACCCCAAAATATTAATTGTAACATAGGGAATCTAATCTCTGTAATTGACCTGTTACCTCTTAGAGGATATTTCCTTTTAGATTAAACATCTCTTTAAAAACTGTTTTATATGGTGAGTTGGTACTACATAGTACTTAAATGCCATGTCTTATTTAACTAAATACTATATTTGCTTTGTCCTGTATCTCTATATCTCATATAATAGGATTCTTTTATTTTGCTCTTGGTGATTATAGGTTTATGAATATTCCTTAACATTTAGCATGTCTAATTACTCAAACTGTATGTACTATAATTACCCATTTGGGGGTACTCATTCTCCATTCATTTCATTCTTTCAGCCAGCCAATACTTTTGGAGTAGTGTCTTCCATATAGATTATATATGTTGAGATTAAGGAAAAATGATTCCAGTTTCAAGACTTAGTCTATCGTGTCAATAGATGTTTTACCATGTATATTGCATTTATCATTAACAAAAGATAATCTGTCCTTTCATGCATTTATTTTATAGATGCTCCTGAAGTTTCGGTAACAGGTTATGATGGAAATTGGTTTGTAGGAAGAAAAGGTGTTAATCTCAAATGTAATGCTGATGCAAACCCACCACCATTCAAATCTGTGTGGAGCAGGTATGTTATACTTTAAAAGTAAATTATCTAAAAGTGAAACATTCTTAAATCCACGTTCAAAATTGTTTTTGTCTATGTAATACATGATTATAGTAATAGCAGAAAATTTTAATTACTTTGTCTTTTCTTGCCCTACCTGTCCCCACCTTTCTACCCCCTCAGTTCTATTCTTCAGAGGCTACTTTAGCAATTTTAGCAATTTCTTATGGTTAGTTACAATCACAGGCCTTAAGCTGCTACTTCTTAATACTTTTTAACATTGACTGTTGACTTCTTAGTTAGATAAATAATTATAATTTTATGTCTACTCCTTTATTCACAAACACATCCTTATACAAACATTTTTTTTTGACATGACATTGTTGACTTCTTAGTTAGATAAATAATTATAATTTTATGTCTACTCCTTTATTCACAAACACATCCCTATACAAACATTTCTTTTTTTGTTTCTTTTTTTTTTTTTTCGACACGTGTGTCTTGTTGGTACCATCCCCTCCCCCTTCCCACCCCTGCTGCCCAACCAAGACCCCTCTATTCCCACCACTACCCTGCAGCTGTTGCCCTTCTCCAGGCTCCCAGTACCACCCCCCATTGCCCTCCCTTCTCTCCCTTTCCCTCCCCCATAACCCTTCCCCAGGCTCCTCCCACCTCAGAATATTTTTTTTGTTCCTAAGTTTATCATGTGAGGTGGGGGTGGGGGGACTGGTTAGATGGAGAGGATGCCCCGCTATTCAGAGGTCCTACTGAGTGGGCACACCTTTTCCCCTCGAGAAAACCCTGTTTCTATCAGAGAAATGGGCAGAGGCCTCTCCCTGGAACTTGAACCCCTCTGTCTCTGGAAACATCCCAAAGCAGGCCCAACCTGCCATGTTCCTTTGTTGGGGCACAGAGGGAATGGAATCTTACCAATAAGGTGAGAAGAGCTTGAGAGAATACCAAGGACGGGCCCACCCTTATCCCTCCTCCCTCCAAACACCTCAGGCTAAAAGGGGAGAAAAAAAAAAGCACCAACAAAGAGTTTAAGATAGCAATTCCCAGCTTTTTCAAATATGAAGCATTTTTTAACCAACCCTTTTTTTAATTCTTAAATTCTTGTACAGAACTAAACAAATTTATTAACATTCCACTTTTACATTTCTTATCAACAAACAAGAAATAAAATTCATGAGCCAAAAAACCCAAAACAAAACTAGAAACAGGGAAAAGCTTATAAAACTATATACAAACATTTCTACCTTTCATAGTCCACGTGAACTTTTAGCTGCTTTTAATTAAACTCAGTAATCACTGTTTGCCTCTCTAGGACAGGTAAATATTACTAAGAACTAAATAATATATCAGACTTCTGTTTTCTCTTGTCTACAGCCATTTGTTTTCCCTATGGCTAATATTGGCCTCTTTACTTGTATAGTTACTATGTGCATAATTTCCTTTCTATGAAATTTCAAACTGTTATACTAAGGTTTTTATTCATATTTTGTCAGTATTTAGGGCCCATTTTGATCTTCAGATGAGTATCTATCAAGTTGAATACTTCTCTTATTTTTTGGTCATTTCCTTTTTTTTTTTTTGAAGGAAAATTTGTATTGTTTTAATTATTTTTATGTACAGAAAACTCAACAGTGTACATTTAACCCAGTTTCGTGGCAAGTTCTTTAGCCTTTGCCTTTTCGAGCTTGGCGATGCGAGCCACAGACTTGGGACCCAGGACGTTGCCTCCCCAGTGACGGCGGATCTCATCATATCTGTCATTGTAATTGGTGCGTATAGCTTCCACCAGTTTAGCCAAAGCACCTTTATCTTCTCAGTTAACCTGTGTGAAGGCCACAGTGGTTCAGGTCTTCCTGTGAACTAGGCATCCCAGTCTTGCCTTCCCCTTGATAATGCAGTAAGGGACTCCCATTTTATGACACGTGGCAGGCAAGAAGACAACCAGCTCAATGGGATCCACGTCATGTGCAGTCACCACCAGCTGAGCTTTCTTGTTCTCTACCAAGGTGGTGACAGTGTTAACTCCTGCTCGAAGGACAGGTGGTCTCTTAGTGGGGACGTCCTCTTTGCTAGCCGCTTTCTTCTCGGCCTGGGCCAACAGCCTCTGCTTCTTCTCTTGCTTTGTCTCTGGTCTATACTTGTGGGCCAGCTTAAGCAGCTGAGTAGCTGTTTGGTGGTCCAGGGCCTGGGCGAACTGGTTAATTGCAGGAGGCACTTTCAGCCGCTTATAGAGGATGGCTCTCTGCCGCTGCAACCTGATACAGCGGGGCCATTTCGCAAAGCGGGTGAGGTCTCTTTTGGGCTGGATGTCCTGCCCAGTGCCAGAATTCTTAGGCCTTTTCTCAAACATGGGATTCACCCCTTTTTTGCCTTCTGCTTCTTCATGACAGCGGGGGCTGGAGCCACCTTCTTCCTCTTAGCCTTCTTTCCTTTCGGCATCTTGGGTGGCAGGAAGAGAGCTCCTTTTTTTTTGTTTTTGTTTTTTTTAATTCCTGTTCACTCTTTTTAGAACTCCTATTTATTGTATAATAAATATTCTTTTTTTATATATTTTTAGATGATCTTACTGTTCTTCCTAGAAGGTTTTCTTGATTTAAAAAAGAAATTTCCATTGACTTGATATAAAAAAATTTTTTGGCCTATTTTCAGTTTGTAAGAGCATCTTCTCATATGAGAATATACTTTATTCTCATTGAATATTCTTTAGAGAATGAGAAATGCTCTTATAAACTGAAAATAGGCCAACAATAAAAATATGTTATTTTTATAGCACCTTTTTCTTGTTTCATGAGTGTAATATCTTTCTTATTATTCCTGGGGATACTACAGTTATTTCTTCCCCAGAGAGTTTTTTCTGCATACTGTCAGTATACAGAGTTTTTCCTGTATACTGTCTCTTTTCCCTCCAAGTTCTTTGGTTTTTGGTTTGGTCTTTTATTGTGTATATATTTCTTAATCTTGTTGGTTGTCTCGTCTTTCACAGTGAAGCATTAAAATAAAATGCTTAGTGGATGCTTTTTCTGTGGTGGGGATTGTTCATTAAGATTCCACTTAGAGTGATCAGATAGAGCTGTGATTATTTTCCTGGGGAGGCTCCAGATATTACTAATAGAAGAGTGTAAGTCTTTACTTCATGGCCAGTTTATTTCTAGAATTAACCTGCATTTTATTTGCCTGAGAGAGAAATGTCTGGTATTTGTACAGAGTCGGGAGGAATCTATTGTTTTGTTGTGTATCTTTTAACTAGCTCTTGGCCTCCTTCTAGTCTTCTGAGGTATAGTGAGTCAAACTCCAAATTTTTTTTTTTGATTTTTTGACCAAATTGGCTGCTTTCTCATCCATGTGCCTTTTGTAAGCAACTCTTCAAGTAAAACTTTTCAATCTTGGCACTATTGATATTTTAGGCTGATACCTCTTTTTTGTAGTGGACAGTCCTATGAATTGTAGTGTATTTAGAACCATCCCTGGGTTGAGAAACACTGACCTCTAAGGCATATATTGTTTTTAAGTCTATTTTCTATCTTCTGAAAGTTTGTTGAATCATCTTGTCTGTTGAATTCATAAGGCATATATTGTTTTTAAATCTGTTTTCTGTCTTCCGAAAGTTTGTTGAAACATCTTGTCTGTTGAATTCTGCCTCCTGTTTTCTTTTCTCCTCTAGCATTTTTAATAACTTTTTAATTTCTGAACTCTTTCTGGTGAGATTTCATGGGAATTAGGAAGCACTATATCTGGTCAATTGGTTGTTTTTAAGCATAAATACTATTTTTTAAAAGTAGAGAAAACCTTTTTCATTTTCTGTTTTTTTAAATGGGAAGCAGTCATTAGTTAAGATGTTTATTTGATAGAGTATTTCTAAAAGCAATACAATTCTGGATTCTCATCCCAGTAACTAAACTTATAGATGTATTTTTTGAGTAAGCCACTTACTTTTAATCCTAAGTTTCCTTGCCAATAACAGTACTTCACTGAGTTTTTGTAAGGGTACAGACAGTGGATATAAGTTGTGTAACGTAGATAGAAGGGCATAGAACATGCTTTCGTTGTAGGTTTAATGTGATATTTAGATATTTCTAACTCTACATCATTTTACAATTTCTCTGAGAATTAAAGGGATTAGAAGGTTGAGCCTAAAGTACAAAGGTAAAGACATATAGTTCATTTTCATTGTTATCCTTGTAGAAAGAGTTTACCTTTTGAAAGCCGATACTTGCAAAAAGTTTCTTTCCAAAGCCCTCAAAAAAAAAAAAAGATTGGGTGCTTTTGTTTTCATTTTTTAAACCTGTAAGCATATTATCTTTATCCTCAGTGCTGAATTAAAGTGCTACCAACTCCAAAGTATTTTACAGATTATTTTTCCACTCACTGCACTTGAGATTGCAAAACAAAATTATTCTATCTATTCTTCAGTGTTGATTTGCTTCTTTCCACCTTTTTATTGTTGGTTGTTCTTATTCCCTGTGTAATAAGTTGTCGATCTTCTATGTACTTACATTGTTGAAAATAGAGACTACGTTTTATTTACTTCCATATCTCAGCACCACTGGCAGAGTGGAGTATGGCAAATAGTGGGCTGCTAGTAATTGGATGAAGGAATAAATGAATAAACTTTTTGAAAATCTACTTAGCTTAAACTGTAGTAGTTAAGGCCCTGGGTTTACTTGACTTTTTAATCTTCTTATCTTTTATTTATTTATTTTATTTATTTATTTATTTTATTTATTTATTTTTTTTGAGACAGAGTGTTGCCCTGTCATCCAGTCTGGAATATAGTGGTATACTGTTGCCTCACACAGCCTCTGCCTCCAGGGTTCAAATGATTGTCCTGCCTCAGCATCCTGAGTAGCTGGGATTACAGGCACTCGCCACTATGCCCAACTAATTTTTGTTTTTTTAGTGGAGACGGGATTTCACCATGTTGGCCAGACTGGTCTCAAACTCCTGACCTCAAGTGATATGCCTACCAAGTGATATGCCTACTTCTCAAAAGTGCTGGGATTACAGGTGTGAGCCACTGTGCCTGGTCTTACCCTCTTATCTTAAAAACAAACAAAATAACCTTTAAGCATTAAAAACACTGTGTGTGTGTGTGTGTGTGTGTATTTGTGTGTGTGTGTGTGTGTGTGTGTGTGTGTGTGTGTGTGTGTATTTTGGTACCCTCAAGTTAGAAAAGTGATTTTTAGCAGTATGATTAGTTCCATTATAATGAATGGCTTTAGAGTTCTCATAGTGGGACTCTTTATGGTTTACAGTAATAGGTATACTAGGTATAGGACCTCTTAGCCAAATCAGTGTAAATACTTTTGAAAGGAGTTATTATTGACACCAAATGGTGTCTTGTTTTTTATTGTCACAGATGCTCACCTTACAAATGAAATTATTTTATAAGACCCATTTTGCTGCTTTAGAAACTATCTTTGGATGGAACACAGTGTCTATTTGTATTAGCATTAAATGATGCTCTATAAATATAGAGGGTGCTAAAACATTATTACATATTTAAGTGAGATGACTTCATTAAGATTGTTGTAGACACGTCATAGGTGATTCAGTGAGAATTTTAATTTCTCTGATATTGTATGTATGTATATTATCTTCAAATAATATATTTTTCCAACTTCCATTTTAATGAATAAAATTTTTTTTATATTTTTTCTCTGCTTTTCTCCCATTTTATTATGTTGGCATAGCAACTCTTACATGGACTGCTGTTTTGGAAGAATGGGTGTTCTTAATGGCCTTTATTAGTTCATCTTTATTAAAATGAAAATTTGTTACTTTTTGTATACTTTCTTAGTGAATTTTGTATAAAAGATACTTTTTTATTTTGACTAACATCTTAAACGTTTAATGTCTCATTTTAACTAGCTGTCAATAAATGTAGTCTGAAGATATTTAAAACAATTTTATGCATTTTAAAATCTAGGTTGGATGGACAATGGCCTGATGGTTTATTAGCTTCAGACAATACTCTTCATTTTGTTCATCCATTGACTTTCAATTATTCTGGTGTTTATATCTGTAAAGTGACCAATTCCCTTGGTCAAAGAAGTGATCAAAAAGTCATCTACATTTCAGGTAAGTTACTATCTGCTTGCAAAATATGTTATTTAAAATATTTCCAAATAATCATCATAACAGTATGATCCTAAGCAATAGTTTTTACAGGCAAAGATATAGATTCCTCAGTGAGAAGTTTTTCCAAATAATCTAAAAGGAATATGATAAAATAACCCTATCCTGAGATAGGTATGTAATGTGGCATCCTATATTGAAATGTCAAAATGTCTATGCAACAAATTTGTATACATTTTGATGCCTGTACATATAGTTAATTTTTTAGCTCAACAGTATTGACTATTTAATAAATAGTATGACTTTCTAGATTCTTTTATCCTTATACTAAGAACAAATAATGATTTTTTTTCTTTTCCTTTGATGGCCAGTTTGTACACAGTTGTCTGGTAAATAAAATGGAATATTAAATTTGATGTCTTGGCTTGTTAAATAACATTGTTTGCCACTTAATATGGGACTGTACCATATTGTGTTGCTGAGAGGTGAAATAGATATGCTACTGAAAATGTGTTAATGAAATAAAATTTATGATGCTTTTTATTGTCCTTAAACCACTAACAGCTTAGATTTTTCACATTCTGTTTGTTTCATTGTGAATATTTTTATTAATTTGGCTGAGTATAAATTTGATCATTCATAAAATATATAGACAGCTAAAAGTATATTTTTTCCTGGTTGTGGCTTCAGGTAATAAATTATCAATAGAATGCATATTTTAAAAAATTCAATAAAATATTTTGAGCATCTTACTGATTGCAAGAATATAGCAATCTTCCTGTCAAACAAATGGAAAATTAAGAGGGAAAAGGAAGAGAACCTAAGAAATGCAGGTTTGTATGGTAATTATGGAATAAACAGTTAAGAGTTTTAGCTTTGTTCAAATCTAAAACTAGATAAATTAGAGGTTTTGGAGAAATTTTGTGTTTGCTTAAGTGTTATATTCTTAGTCCTTGTGTGATCAATCTAAGAACAGTACCACATATTATTTTCTTATAGCAGGCATCACAAATGTTTAGTTGTATGTTCATTTCTTTACTTACTATTTACCTTCACAATTTAGCAATTTGTGCTTGCTTTATTTACCACTGCATACTCAGCCATGAGCACTGTGCCTGGCACGTGATAGAAGTGTAAACTTTTTTTTTTTTTTGCATGACTCTAGCAAAAGCTTAGAGCTGCCGTATTCCTTTCTGCCAGTATCAGTGCTTTTGTGAAAATTTGTATTTTTTTTCTTTTGAGACATGGTTTCACTCTGTTACCCAGGCTGGAATAAGTGATGTGATCTTGGCTCACTGCAAGCTCTGCCTCCCAGGCTCAAGCAATCCTCCCACCTCAGCCTCCAGTAGCTGAGACTACAGGTGTGCACCATCACCCTTAGCTAATTTTTGTATTTTTTTATAGAGACACGGTCTCACTGTATTGTCCAGGCTGGTCTTGAACCTCCTGAGCTCAAGTGATCTTTCCCACCTCAGCCTCCTAAAGTGCTGGGATTAGAAGTATGAGCCACTGTGCCTGGCTGGAAATCTGAATGAGGTTACATAGGAGTACATTAATCTCTCTTTCTTTAGTTAGAGAGTAAGCCAGGGAAATGAACATTTAAAATACACTTAAGGACTGTTTATTTTGTGTTTCTGTTGTACAGTTTGGTGTGGGATATTACTTGTAAACATTAGATTCAGTATATCTATGTCATCATTTAAATAGCAAGGCTTGGCTGGGCATGGTGGTTCACACCTGTAATCCCAGCACTTTGGGAAGCAGAGGTGGGTGGATCACCTGAGGTCAGGGGTTTGTGATCAGCCTGGCCACCATGGTGAAACCCTGTCTCTACTAAAAATATAAAAATTAGCCAGCATGGTGCATGCCTCTGATCCCAGCTACTCTGGAATCTGAGGCAGGAGAATCACTTGAACCTGGGAGGCAGAGGTTGCAGTGAGTTCAGATTGTGCCATAGACGACAGAGTGAAACTCTGTCTCAAAAAAAATAAAAAATAAATATCAAGGCTCTTTTTGGACGCTCTTATATGTAATGATTTCATTGATGATATCCTAAATTTATACTCGGTTAGCATTCTGAGTTCAATGTTCAGTACTCCTAACTTGTGCATCCAATTACCTGTTAATGATCATTAACGCTATGTGGTAGTCTGATAGGTATTTGCAACTTAATATATTCAAAACTGAGGTCCTGATCTTTCTACTGTTCCTTGATACCACACATATTTCTGTACCCGCCTTCCTTCTTTCAGTTACTAGTCCTTCTTTCCTTACATTTGTTCAGGGTACAACCCTTGACGGTTATTCTTGATTCTGCTTATTCTCTCAAACCCTGTTGAATTCATTAACAAATCAATGCTAGCTCTTCCATTATGTTAAATACAGAATCTTACCAGTTCAACTCTTCTACTACTATACTAGTCTAAGCCATAGCCACTCTTACTTCACTGTTACAGTAACCATTTAATCTCCCAACTTTGCCTCCATCCCCCTTCCCTTTGTCAGCAAATGAGCAGCTAGGACGGTTATTTAAAAGGGTGGGTCAGATCATGTCTCCTCTCCTCCAAACCTTCCATGGGCTTCCCATTTTACCCACAATGAAATCCATATCCTTATAGTGACTCGCAAGGCTCTATATATACCCTCCTCCCAGATGATCTCTCTAATCTCATTTCTTACTATGTTTTGCTCATTGGCTGAGGCACTACTGGACTCCTTGCTGTTCTTCAAACATAACAGGCATATTCCTACCTCAGAGTCTTTTGCATTTGCTATTTTCACTACCTGGAATGCTTTTACCAGGTATCGTCATAGCTCTTTCCCTCACTTCTTAAGGCCTTTGCTTTCATGTTTTTCAATGAGGTCTTCCTTCACGACTATATTTGAAGTAAAATAACCTCCCTTCCCACCCCTTTACTACTACTGGTCCCCCTTCTTTTTCTCTTCAGTACGTATTGCCATGTAACCGCATGTATTGCCATATAGATATGTAAAATATTTACGTATTTTATTGTTTTTATATGCTTGTCTGTTTTTACATTCATTAGAACATAAGTCTAAACATAAAGTCTGCTTTAATTACTGCTATGTTCCCATTATCTACAATGATGTTTAGCATATGATAGGCATTCAGTATAGTTTTGTTACATGAATGAATAAATTTGAGACTAAAACAATTGGGAATCAATTTATAAATCCAGAATCTGCTTTTATGTAACTATAACTCTTTAAAAAGGGAGATCAAATTTTGAGTAAATATGGACAAAATCACAGTTTAAGCACTTTCAAAGAAGTGGCGTTATTAGAGAGAATTCTTTTTTTAAATGGAGATAGAGCCTTGCTCTGTTGACCAGGCTGGAGTGCAGAGGCATGATCTCGGCTCACTGCAACCTCTACCTCCTGGGTTCAAGTAATTCTTCTGCCTCAGCCTCCCGAGTAGCTGGGACTACAGGCACACGCCGCCACGCTCATCTAATTTTTGTATTTTAGTAGAGACGGCATTTCACTCTGTGGCCCAGGCTGGTCTCGAACTCCTAAGCTCAGTCAATCCGCCTGCCTTGGCCTCCTAGAGTGCTAGGATTATAGGAGTGAGCCAGGGCACCTATCCAAGAATTTTTTATGTTTAAGTAATCAGTAATTAGACTTGACTTTTCTATCCAGAGTCTGTAATACAGTATACCATGCTGAGATTAGTTAAGTCATCTAATAACTGATTGGAGTATGTCAAGTATCTTAGGTACAATTCTGCCTTTCCAGAATCACTATTTAGTAAAACCTAGTAGTCTTTTATGAAAATAAGAAGCCATAACTCACACAGTAAATGACCAGTTAATCTTTTTCGTTGTTACATGTACTCATTTTTTCTAGGAAAAAAATTTTACCTCAGTATTAAAATATGATATTTTAAAATTTGAGAAATAATTTTTAATATGTGTAAAATAAATGCATCTTAGGACTAGAGATGAAAAGTTCTGCTCAGAACAGAGTAAGCAACTCTGAGGGAAATTGTTCTTAATTTTGTTACACATGTTCCCACATTGATAAATGTAAGATATTGGTAAGAGGTTTCTGATTCAGGATTGCAATATTTGATTTTAGTTATTAAATTGTACTTAATTATATAATAGTAATACTCTCAAGGGGTATAGTAGCTCTTTGTCTAGTACTTACTGACTGCTGGAAATTGTGTTTTTCTGATTTGCTATTGATGTGCATTTTTCCCTTAACTGATAGCTGTTACTTCATTGTGTCAAACAAGTCCCCCTATGCCTAAAACCTTTATTTCTGTGCAAAACTTGAATTTCAGGTCATATGGATTTTAGGATCCAAGAGTAGTATCAAACTTAAGAATTTGCTGCTTAGCAATCCTTAAACATTAAAATACATTATTTTTTATATTTAAACAATCTATATGAAGTCTAAAAGAAAAATAAGCCAATTTTTATGACACAAAAAATATACCTTAGAAGACTAAAATATGCCTTTTACGGGACATTACTTGACTCCATTTTATGGTTTGGCAGAACTCATTAGAAAAGGAAACTTAAAGTTCTTCATTTGGGTGAGAAGAACTTGAGTCGTCATATCCATTACATACTCATTTATCACATAGTATATCACAGCAAAGAATATGAAAAACAGTATCTAACTGAAAAATGAGGACTGCTTTGGGAAGGACTTAAAATCGTTACGTGATTAGAAATAGTACTGCCTAGGCCGGGCGCAGTGGCTCAAGCCTGTAATCCCAGCACTTTGGGAGGCCGAGGCGGGTGGATCACGAGGTCAAGAGATCGAGACCATCCTGGTCAACATGGTGAAACCCTGTCTCTACTAAAAATACAAAAAATTAGCTGGGCATGGTGGCACATGCCTGTAATCCTAGCTACTCAGGAGGTTAAGGCAGGAGAATTGCCTGAGCCCAGAAGGCGGAGGTTGCGGTGAGCCGAGATCGCGCCATTGCACTCCAGCCTGGGTAACAAGAGGGAAACTCCGTCTCAAAAAAA